TTTCATCTTATCCTTAATTCGTTCAGACTCCTCATCTTTGAGACGGTTTGCTTCCTCAGTCCTCATGTGACTGATCAGTTCTTGAAGAGTTAAGTTTTTCTTCTTGTGTTTCAGTTGATTCCTGTAATCACCCCAAGAAGGTGGAAACTTTTCAAGCAGAACATTAGCCTAAAGAATCTCACACATTTCCATGCCTTCGTTCAAAACATCAGCAGTCAAGTTCTCATACTCGTGAACCTGCTCCATGACTGGCTTATCATCAACCATCTGAAACTTAATCCACTTTCCAACCACATACTTTTTTTTCTCGCGTCATCTGCTCCATATTTCTTCTCCAAACTGTCTCATATGACTTTAGCATATTTATAATTTATAAACAAATCAAAGAAAGGGTTAATCATATGGTTAAGCAGATGCCCTCTCATTGTTTTATTATCCTTTTCAAACTTCTTCTTAGCATCAACATCAGCAACAACAGTATTAGCAGTATTAGAACTTTCAACAATAATATAAGTAGGAGGATCGTTAAACAAAACATAATCAATTTCTAATTGTTCAAAGAAAATTAAAAGTTTCTGGGACCAAAGCTTATAATTGTTTCCATCTAAAGGCTCAAGTTTTGAGAGATCAGGAAGTGTTTTGTTCAAAGTGGTGGCCATTAATCAATATTATATGCGAAATCGTTTTCAAATTGTAAGAAAAATGAGCAGATAAAATTGACTAAGAACAAGAAGGAAAGAAGAATAACTTATCAAAAATACTGTGTCGTGGCAAGCCACTGTCTTGAAAGCGATTTCGGGCCGACTGGATGCAAATCGTTAAGACCGATCGCTCCCCAAGGTTCCACATCACCTCCAAACATGTGCACTCGTGACCGGAAAATAATTAAATAAGAGTATAGCACGTGAACTGATTGCGTAATAGAGAGATGATTGCGTAATAGAGAGAACTGAGAGTACCTTTGCATTTGCCCAAAACTGAGCAAAATCAGCTACCCGCATATTGCGGTCATCCACTAAGATGAGGCACAAATACCAGCAACAAATGGGTCAATTGCCGAACAAAACTGCATTTGTAGTTAGTAAACTGAAGGCAGTGCAACGCACTGCATCACCACTTAATCTATAATTAAACTATGGTTTAACTTTTAACTAGACAATCTAGCATGACTCGAGAACCAATGTGCTAGCTATTATCAAGAAACCTATGAGACACGGTTTGCCTTCGAGTTTCCTAGATCCAACAAAAGTGGAGGTTTTCTTTAGAAATATGCTACAGTGGGGATCAACAAAGGACATGACAAAACAGCTGATAGCAGTGTGCTTTCATATCACAGGCAAATTTCAATGAATCTCACAGACATACTCATTAAACAAAAGAATTGCCATTCAGCTGTAAGAGGAAACATTGATGCAAATTATTCCAAATGTCAGGCTTAGATGATGGTCAAAAAGATGAAATATGGAAATGCAGAGTAAGAGCAATCCATTCGCCACAGAATATCATCTGTTTAAAAGACTTCAACATGCTGGACCGATAGGCCTGAAACACAGAATCAAATAGGTAATAGGTAACAATATATACGAGGCACTAAATTGCAGAAAATTAGGAAAAGCAAATTAACTTCATGATGAGTTGGGCAAAATCCGAACCCAATCAACCACGAATTTCAAAAGATCATTTCTACGTCATTGATTGATTCCAAAATTGCTACAGTTTGGACAAGTCAAGCTTCTTGAAAGATGAAATTATGATATGCCATTACAATCAACATTAAACCCACAAAAGAAATAGCAACACATGGGCACAAACTATCGCCTAGTGCTATGTTTCTGTTACTAAAGGACTAAAGGTATAATAAATCAGTCGACACAGGGATTGCCTCATTGTGTTACCGAGCATGCAATAAATATGAAAATCTTTCTTTCTAGATACGGGGAAAATGATATTTGAAATATAGAGTTGTGTTTGGACATGAATATAATTTTATTTTGTTTTTGAAATTTTGTGAGTGATATCGGTGAAAATTTTGAAAACAGTTTTTTGTAATTTTTCAAATTTTCGAAAAAAATCAAAATTCATTAAAATTTTTATGGTCAAACACTAATTTCGAAAAAATTTCATTTTTTTCGAACAAAAAGTGAATTTTTTTTTATGTCCAAACGGGCTATTAGGTCTAAATTGAATTTTGCCTTTTTCATTTTTTTTCCCGGAGAGATAGATGTAATGAAATTCTTTAGAGTATATATGAGACAAAAAATCTATAGAGGTTAACCACAGCAGATATTATGGAGTACATTATGTGCCTACTTATTTTCTTTCATAAAACACTATGTTTTTATAATATACATATAGAACTTTCTAGAAATTCTTCTTTCAAGCAAATATTGCAAAATAATGAGCTTCAGACACGGAGTGGAGTAGATATACAAGTAAAATTACTTTAATTTTGTTAATAGTCTCTAATTGACATTTTGTCCTACCAAGCCTGGAAGGCATCTTCTTCAATGACATTTCCTTCATTTCAGTTCCTCTTTTTCTCTTTTTAGCCAAATTACTTATTTTATTTGGTCGAATATAATGGTGTAAAATAATTCCACGATCCTACAAATTTCCTTAACATGAAATGAACACAAGGCGCGAACATAGTAATTGATAAGTGTTGAAGAAATCAGCAATTTATGGTTTAATTTGAGCGGTGTACTTTTTATTTCTTCCAACACACATACTTCAATTCAATACATCTTTATCCTGGAAAATAATTTTAATAAATAATAAAATAATGGTTTTCAGAAAAAAGATACTCAACTAATATTATTACTAATACGGTTTAATACATAGTTTGATTTGCCTAGGTATTAGATACATTTTCAAAAGATGATAGTATAAAAGGAGGAGGTAGATCATTAAATTTTTAAAACTTGCTTATTGCTTTCATGTTTTGCTAAGCCGTCTGCCACTTTGTTGCTATATATACACACATTTCAAATTTTGATTTTATGTCTCAAGTATTAAAACCTGCAATCATAACAAAAAAAATAAAAAAAACTGAATTTGTTGAATTACTTTACCCGTGCCTGGTACTTCAAACAGTAACATTAAGAAGAAGAAAAAGAGAGATAAAAAAAGAAAGAGCCGTTTGGACATAAGAATTTTTTTATTTTTTTCGAAATCAATGTTTGGTTCAAATTTTCACTTGAATATGAATTTTGGAACTTTTAGAAGATTTGAAAAACTCCAAAACCATTTTTCAAAAATTCACTCATATCACTCACAAAAATTCAAAACAACCCAAAATTATCTTCATGTCCAAACACAACTCTAATTTTCAGATACTATTTTCAATTGAAAAATAAATGAAAATTTTACCTCCTATAGCAAAGGTATACACCCTATTTATTATAAACTAAAACCATTTTAAGATATTATTTTCTATAGCTACCTTTTATATTTTATAGCAAAATAGGTATTTATGGTATACACTACCATTACAGCGTGAAATAGGCTATTTGTGTTTTTCTTTCTCTTTCTTTATGTTAACATACGATTCTCTCTCAAAATCTCAACAAATTTTTTCTTTTCTCTCTCTCTATTAGAGCAAAATACCTGCTTGTAATCGTGAATTCTCTGGTCGAATCCTCTAGGGTTACTGCAATTAAAAATACTTCTACATGTTCAGTCAATCTAAAGTGTGTACACCAACATGAACATTGGATGAATAACGTGGCATAAGTTCTTATAACGATGAATCATCAATTTCTACATACCTATGAGTCAGAATCGTCGGCGTCATCATCCACTATTGGCTCCTCTTCTTAGGCAAACAGATCTGGCCATGGCTATGCCGAAGAAGATTTGAGGGCCGAATTTTTATTTGTCTCCATTTTTAGTTTTAATATAATGTATACAATATTTTGCTTTACCGGAAAACGTCATCTCCGACGAACTTTCTTCTCTTCTTTGCTATTTAGTCACATACAATGATATAAATATATTGTATTATATACAAATACGCTCAGATGTATTGTATTTTTGTATAAATATATTATTTTTTCGCATGTATTTATGTATTCTGAAGGTCTGTATTTTTTTGAATACAGTCGAATATCACTGTGTTTTGTGATTTTTTGTTGTTTGAATGCAGTCGAATTGAATACGGTGAATTGAATACAATATATAATAGTAAATATTTGTGACTTGAATATAATGTATATAGTCGAATTGAATAGAACGATATACACCCTATTTTCTTGATTTTTTGTTGTTTGAATACAACTGAATTCAATACAGTGAAATTGAATACAATTCAATATTGCGCTTTCCGTTATTAAACACCCGTAATCACTATTTTTTTGGCGGATTACCTCACTGTATTTATAAATACATTCGCACGAATACATGAAATACATAATTAAATATATGTAATTCCCGTTTTTTACCTCACTGTATTTATAAATACAGTCGCGCGAATACATGGAATACAACACAATAACGACAAAATTTATGTAGAATTGATTTTGTTGAGTTAAATTAGGAGTGATACACGCTAAATGATCCCTCTTTCTGTTATTAAATAACTGGATTCCCCTAATTTTTAGGCGAATTCTGCTAATGTATTCATGATTACAACAACGCGAATACAACGAATACAGTCGCACAGTTGGACTCCCCTATTTCTAGGCGAATTTCACTACTGTATTCATAAATATAGTAGCGCGAATACAACAAATACAATCGCGTAACAACTAAATAGTAGCTATATAAAATAATTATATATATGATAGCTATAGAAAATGAATAGCCACTAAACAAACAATAATGATTTCCGAAAATTACAACAAAAAAATCTTATGTCCAAACCTTCACTTAATAAAATAATGTACATATTGGACAATGTACTAAAATGGTATGGTAATTTGGCGAATTGAAATATTTCTTTCTTAAAAATAAACCTGAAAGGGCATTTCTACTACAGTAATAGCAAGTGGGGGTGGTAATTATAGAAAGCACCAAATCCAGCAGGCGTGCTACGGCTACCACCGAAAGATTAAAAAGAACAGACAAACAAAGATGCTTCCCAAGGTTTGAGATATTGTCGGAAAACTCCACCACCACCACCACCACCACCATAGCTTTAATAAACTCTGTTTTTCAATTCCGGTAACTCGTCTGCTGGATCTCCGATCAGGTACCCCTTTTTTCTCATTATAACAAACTTACTTACCTCTTTGGGGTTTTATATTACTTGTTTTCTTGAACAAATTGACGTTACTTTTCCTAGGGTTTTATCTTCATTTGGAAGGGGAAAAAATCCAACCTTTTTTGTGTAACTTATAGCTTTAGGGGTTTGCCTTGTTCTCTAATTGCTTTAAACAATTGGGATTTACTTGATTTCATGATTCCATAGAAAAAGAAGAAGCAAAGGGTTACTATGATTTTTGACCTTGTATAAACAAATGGGCTACTGGGTGTTTTTGTTTTGTGGAAGAAATAATGTCAGTTAGATGTTTATATTGCCAATCTTGCAGAATAATCAACGCTGCTTAGTTATGTTTGATGTTGTTTCTATTTTTTTTGTTATTGGGTTTTGCAGTGTTAAGGTTATTATGTATGTTGGACACCTTCAGTCGTCGCTCTGTAGTTTTCTTTGGTATGTTATTCAGATTATCTCCATCTCTTTAATATGTAGTATCATACTTCGTAGACTGTGTCCCTGTTTACTCTAATTCTCGCGCTACTGCTGCTCCTAGAGGTGTTTCTATGTGCAATTTCCTTACTTTCTTTGAATCAATATTATGATTAGTGTCCCTTTGAGGCTCTTGATTTACCATAGTTTGTCCACGTATTTTGTGAAAAATTGTGCTGCTTTGAAGTTTATTTTGGAGCCTTCTGGCTATTCAACATAGGATCTCCTTTAGTTTTTACGCATACCTTTCAGTGGCAAGTTGATTCCCTTCTGCTAACTGCTATATGCAGTTTCTCTTAAGTTACATCTCCGTGTTATCTATTCTAGGTTACCAATTATCTTTATGATCTTTGTGGTTCAAATTAAGCGTCTGGCTTTTGGTCTAATGGTGGCCAATATGCTAGAGTCAACTTTGAGAAACAGCTTTCTGTTGAGAGAGATCTTCATAGAAACTTAGAAAATTTGGGAGACTTTGATACTTTGACGAAGCGTTGGTGATTTGTGACTGTGAAAATGCACCCTGGCGATTCTGGAAATAGAAAATTCACTCAAGACTGGTGTGAAAATTCAATAAGGTTTTTTTTTTGACAAGTTAAGATTTTATTAAAACAGTATCAAGCTGATACTGCGAAAATACAGAGATAATGTTTGCTTGGCTACATTAATATCCTAAGCAGTCTAGTATGTCCAGCAGGTTATGTAAAGTCGTAACAACATTTTCATTTTTCCAATAGTTTAAATAATGCAAACAACTATATTTCACAGACTGCATTTGCTCCTGTTTGTCTTCAAAACATCTCTTATTTCTTCCCATATAGTCTAAGCGATGCTGGCTTGATTACATTAAGAAGGCTTTTGAAAAGCATCAAACTTTGATGAGAAGTGAAAACAGGTTCTTTTTCCGACTTAGAGTGAAAGAAGATGATTTGAATGGACTGTTGGGCCAAAGGGGTAACGGCAAAAAACAACTTACAACATTCATAACAACTGGAAAACAATGCAAGTGAATTTCTTTTCATCCATAATTCTTCTCCATACACTTATCTTATCGGAGTTGACTTTGGTGTTAGTTGTGCAAGGAGTGTAGGATTTTGGAAAAACAGGTGATGTAATGGATTACAACAACAACTACGCCTCAATCCGATACTAGCTGGGCTATATGAATCCTCACTGATCATGTTTCTACATTTAAGCTTAGCTCATGTCATCATCATACTAAATAACAAAGTGCAAAATAAGTTAAATTTAAATAAATAATATTAGTAATTGTAATAATAATAACAACAAAGGGTAACGACAAAAAACAACTTACAACATTCATAACAGCCGGAAAACAATGCAAGTGAATTTCTTTTCATCCATATTTTTTCTCCATACACTTATCTTATCGGAGTTGACTTTGGTGTTAGTTGTGCAACGAGTGTAGGATTTTGGAAAAACAGGTCAACTACGCCTCAATCCGATACTAGCTGGGCTATATGAATCCTCACTGATCATGCTTCTCCATTTAAGCTAACCTTGTCGCGGACCCGTTTTCTGGGGGCTCAGCGAGGGCAGCAAGATAGCCTGACTACTACTCTTGCTTCAGCCTTTAACAAGAAACAAGCACAAAATCGTGCTTTGGACCAAGGCAATCACACAAACTCAAAGGTTGGAGGGATAACGAAATGAAAGACACAAAGATGGGAGGCCAAGGCCAATTTTCGGGGTTTATCTCATATACAAAAGAAGGAAATGCAAGTAAAGAGATCTGCCTTCTAACAAGGCCCAAGTATCCTATTTATACGGAAAAATGTCCACAGGCAGCTAAGTGCAAAATAAGTTTAATTTAAATAAATAATATTAGTAATTGTAACAACAACAACAATTATTATTATTATTATTATTATTATTATAATAATTTGTTCTGGATCGCTTCGACGGGGCTACAAGAGATTTTTACAGAGACACCAGCCCCGTCAAGCAAGCCCAAAATCCGAATCCCACACGACCCTTAACGCCCTCCTCGCCTAGAGGGTCTCTCAGGGGACCTCCGGTTATGCTACCATAACCTGGACGAACTGCCTGCACTATCATGCTGCCTGGGCTCTACAGTCTCAACCTTAGAACCGTCAGGTGATACAATACTTAATAATAACAAAACATGTTAGTAGTAGCTTAGTGTGCCTAAGCCCAACACAACATTGTTTAGACTATCATTTATGCTGAATGAATACCCATATTAGAGGAATTAAACAATATTAAAAATCAAACTACCCGAACAAGTCGAGGTTGTGGCCAATGCATGACCTTTTCAGATTTTATTCAATAAAACTGTATATAAGAGTCTTTTTACAAAGAAATCAAAGAGGGTTTTTTTGAAGCCTGCCTCTAACTAAGTCAGATGATATCCTTATATGATGGATCCGTTCTAAAACCAACAAAAATCTAATAGTAAAATGGCCAACAACATTTACATAATTGATAATATGTGGCCGACAAAGAAAAGGTAATAAAACAAACAACTTTAAAAAGTTGATTCCCTCTATTATTAATGAGGGGCCCTTCGGTTGTATTATTTGTGCAGGATCTTTGTATTATTGGTACTGTTGGGTCCGCCGAGTCATATCACGATATTTTTTCCTTTGTCCTTTTGCTGTCTAGAAGATTCTTCTACCCGCTCTTTGAATTTTTCCAACAATTCTTCAATATTATCTAGATTGACTTCTCCTTCTTGGCTTTCCTGGACTTCTCCTACCGCACAAATCTCATCATCTTCTGTTGTATTACCCACAGATGCCATCGAAATATCATATGATATTTCTATATCCAGATTCTGCATTAAAACTTCTTTACTTCAAAATAAGAAGCAATTATCTCCTTTTTAGAGATGGCTCCTTTCTTCATCTGGAGCTTTCTTGTCATTTGCTTAAATGGACTTAAATCTTCCATTTTGGCATTTGCCTTCACCTGATTGTTATATCCTCAATTCCCCCCCAACCACGATATTATCAAGAATTTCTTGACCAAGAATTTTCCCCGAGGATCTTTCTAGAGTAGCTTATTCCAAAACTTTGTATAATAAATTATATTTAGATAGGAAAATCCTTCCATTGTTTGTTTTACCTCCGCATCCCATTTCATGATCCATGATATGGAGAATTCTATAAAGAAATACATTATTGCCATGCCTTCAAAGAAGATATCTTCTTTTGTAGACTGATAATTCTGGGTGATCTACCCTTTTTGCATATAAGCACTTGAACTGGTCTGGAAGAATTTCCAAAGAAAGATCATATAATATCCACTATTTACAAAACCAATTTGGAATTTACTGGTTAAACATATTGGACCATAATTTTATGAACCAAAGAATGTTTCTTATTAGAGTTTTCACGTAACAAAGCTTTATTAAAGCTATCCATATAATCCCAGTAATTGAATTTAACTGAGAGCTTATGAACTGGATGGGTGTATTCCCTTTCTTTGAAAGTACTGAGCCCCCATTCATCTGAGGCTAAAATACTTTTTATTATAATTTTAGAGAAGTTATAAACTCTCTTTGTATTAGCCGGATAAAAATGCTGAATATCAGCAGATCCAGTGGATAATAGAACCATTTCATATGCATTCTGTATTTATATGCAAGTGTAGCATGGTGTTGTATCAAAATACCTGGTCATGAGCTGCCAGGGATTATCCTTCCATTTCAGGTCAGATTGTTCTAGGAGAATTATTATCTCTTTTGTTTCGTTCTAGTTGTAAACCTCAATATTCTCATGGTTGTCATCTGTCAGGACTGTATTAATACCAGAAGTTACTGCAATATTAACAACTATTAACTGCTAGTTTCCTATTTGGGCTAGGAGCCTAGGACACTGCCTCTGCCATAGGAACATCCTGATTGCCTTACTCTTCCTCTCCTTCGAGAGGTCCTGAAGTCTGGTCTCATGATCTGTTTATGAATAATGAAGTTATGAACTTTAAAATTCTCTAGTGAGAAAATCAGGGAGGCTATTATCAGATCCCTTTTTATAAATTATCTCAAAATCAAATGGTGCCAATAAAGCTTGCCATCTTGCAAACATCTGTTTAGAAACATCATGTTTACAATCTTTATTAAAGATAAACTTTACTGTTTGGCAATCAGTTTTTATTAAAAACTTCTGATTATATAAATCAGATTGGAATTTCAACACACGTTTTACTATAGCAAAGATCTTCCGGGATTATTCCATTTTCCCGAATAAAATTGAACAAGATATTCTTGTTTATCCATTGGAGAACATTGCTTTAATATTCCTCCATATCCAATATCCGAGGCATCAGTTTCAACTATTTTTGCCCAAGTTGGATTGGCTAATCAGTCCAAGCTTTTGGATTCTTCTTTAGTCTTTCATATAGAATTGACGTATCTTTGGCTAAATCCTTTATAAGAGGAGAAATGTAATTCAAGCTTCCCAAAACTCTTTGAAGCTGTGTTTTATCAGTTATAATATTAGGAAACTTAGAAGCAAATTCAATACTTCTCTGAATAGGAATAATTTTTCCTTTTTCAGTATTATGGCCTAGAAATCTTATTTTAGTTTGAAAAAGAAACAATTTAGGCTTAGAAGTTACTAATATTTTTCTGTATAACTATATCTTTGTGAAAAGTTCTAAATATTTGAAATGTATTTCTAAATTTTTAGAAAATACAAGAATATCATCAATATATACTATTATAAAATTAGTATAGGGTTGATAAGCCATGTATCTTCCAGAAGAAGCAAAGAAATTTAGGAGAAGATAATTTCCGGAGCTTTCAGTTATTAGAAGTTATCTGTTTAGCAATTTTATTATGGTTATTAGAAGTTATCTATCTTTATCCGAATAGGTTATGCAGTTGTTAGTCGGCCTATTATATAAGTAATAGATCCTGTAATGTGTAGGTATCATTATCAGAATTAAACTACTTTATTCTGGAGCATTGTCCTCTCCATACATATATCTTTATTGGTGTAGTTGTGTTTAAGATTCTTGCACAAACTATTGCCAATAATATTAACTTCTTTGTTCTATTTCTTCAATTATCTACTTCTAGTTACTATCAAGGGTATGAAAATATCATTCATATTTTTCTGAAATTCAGAATGGGCATTCTTTAATCCAAAGGGCATAATATTCCATTCGAATTGGCTCATTGGGACATTAAAAGCAGTCTTGTACTTATCTGCTTCGGATATTTGAATATGCCAATAACCTGATTTCAGATAAAATTTTGAAAATATAATTGCATCATGAAGTCTATCTAATAAATCCTTCTTATTAGGGATCAGATATTTAATCCATTTTAAGACCTTATTTAAGGGCTTTTAATTTATAACCAAACATTGGAACACCACGTTCCTATTCAGCATGTTAACATAAAAAGCTGTGCAAGACCATTTAGACTTAGAAGGTCTTATAAGAGCTTTATGCAACAAAGAATCAATTTTTTTTTTTTTTTTTTTTTTTTTGCATAAATCCAGATATTCAGAATTCATCTGGCAAGGCCTGGTCTTCGTCCTTTCCCAAAATTGACTTGGATGATCACCACATACCTGCAAAGAAAACTGATTTTTAAGAAAATCAATTTTTTCTATTAGTTTCGGACTTTGTAAATTGTCTTCTATGGTCAAGCTATAAATCTCATTTTTGAGAAAATTGACTTACCTATTCTTTGCAATAATATTATCTTTTATCTCATTTATAAATCTTTGAAAAAGCTTATAAACTCAAAATTGATTTGTTTATTATCAAAAGTTCCTGAAAATCCTGTAGAGTCCCACCTAGTAAATGGGAATATATGATGAAAGAATGGAACTTCTAAAATGATATCATTAGAAATATTTTTTACAAGAACAAAGGTTTCGGGAATACAAACCTTATCTTGATAAATATAAGCTCTAGGTAATTTATAATTAATACTCATTTTTTGCCCACTGGCATTCTTCAAATTATGAGTACTTTTATGAAAATACTTTGAAGGTATTAATCCTTCTTTTATACAATTTAGATCTGCACCACCGTCTATTAAAATAGTAAACTCTCTTTTTAAATTGTAATCAATTAAAAGAGTGACTTTTATGGAAAACTTTTGAGAAGTTATTAACTCAAGTTTTTGCAAAAATTCGTCATCTGCAAAACCTATATGTCTAAAAAAATTTCCTTTAGTAATAGAAGTACCTGCTTCTATTATATCAATATTAAAATTCTGTCTTGGATCTATATTAGGATCCTCTAATTTTGAGACTCTTTTATCCAAAGCTACATTTGAAGCTTTGACTTCTTTTTTGAGATTATAAATCTCTTCATCCAAATCTTGGATGGTTGTTGGTCTGTCAATGGCCTGGGTCTTTTCTTTCCGAAGTCTCTTGACTTCTGACATTGTATATGACCCTTTTTGAGAAGGAATTTCTTCATTCTCTATAATAGGACTTGTACATGATTTGTCCATTTTATCAATGATCTGAGATCTAATCTCTATCCTTGATTATTTTTAGTAACTCTATTAGGTTATCATTTGCCAGGACATTAATATCTAGGTCTTTAAACTGGAGTAGATATTATAAAACTCATCATCTTTGTTGTTATTACAACACTGAGGCTATATATTCAGATTCTGCATTAAATTGAGGAATATAACAGTCAGGTGGAGGCAAATGCCAAAATGGAAGATTTAAGTCTATTTAAGCAAATGACAAGAAAGCTCCCGATGAAGAAAGGAGCCATCTCTAAAAAAGAGATATATGCTTCTTATTTTGAAGAAGTAAAAAATGATTTAATGCAGAATATGGATATAGAAAAATCAGATGATATTTCGATGGCATTTGTGGGTAATACAACAGAAGATGATGAGATCTGTGCGGCAGGAGAAAGCTAAGAAGAAGAAGTCAATCTAGATAATATTGAAGAATTGTTGAAAAAATTTAAAGAGCAGGTAGAAGAATCTTCTAGACAGCAAAAGGACAAAGGAAAAAATATCGTGATATGACTCAGCGGACCCAGCAGTACCAATAATGCAAAGACCCTGCACAAATTATCAATTATGCACAAATTTTATTACCTTTTCTTTGTCAGCCACATATTATCAATTATGTCAATGTTGTCGGCCATTTACTATTAGATTTTTGTTGGTTTTAGAACGGATCCATTATATAAGGATCTCATCTGACTTAGTTAGAGACAAGTTTTAAAAAACCCTTCCCTCTGATTTCTTTGTAAAAACACTCTTGTATACAGTTTTATTGAATAAAATCTGAAAAGTTCAGGCATTGGCTACAACCTTGACTTGTTTAGGTACTTTGATTTTTTATATTGTTTAATTCCCTTAATATGGGTATTCATTTAGCCAAAATGATAGACTAAACAGTTTTGTGTTGAGCTTAGGCATACTAAGCTACTACTAACATGTTTTGTTATTATTAAGTACTGTATCACCCGACGGTTCTAAGGTTGAGACTGTAGAGCCCAGACAACATGTTATGGTAATGTAACCGGAGGTTCCCTAAGAGACCCGCTAGCCGAGGAGGGCGTTAAAGGTCGTGTGGGATTTAGGTTTTGGGCTTGCTTGACAGGACTATTGGCTTGACAGGGCTGGTGTCTCTGTAAAAATCTCCTGTAGCCCCGTCGAAGCGATCCATAACAATCAAAAAACCTTGAAGGAAGGAGACATATCATGGTGAGTTGGTCTAGTTTGTATGAAAAGCAATGAGAGGACACATGTCATATACCATTGCATAATAATGCCTTATCAAAAAAACATATCATGGTGAGTCGGTCTAGTTTGTATGAAAAGCCATGAGAGGTCACATGTCATATACCATTGCATTGTAGGTCTACATCACAGCTGTGGCTTGGTTTTCACTTTGTTTAACATTTCATGGGTTGTGCCAACGACATTGGGGCAAGTGTATCGAAGGTCGGTAATGAGAGGAGTAGAACTTGGTGGAACAACATTGTCACATCTCTATTGGCTAATTTGGAAGGAGAAGAACGAAAAATGTTTCTGACTGTACATTGTATGTAAATGTCTAAAGAAGTAAATTTCATCTCATTTATTCTTTTGGGGTAAAGGAAGAAGTGTAAGGTAGTTGGCGGATGGGATAGGTGACGGTTGAGCACATCCGTACATTTTTTTGGGGGGATAACTGAGAAACTTATTTGAGTTAGATGACTCAACCTGGTTCGATTTGTG